CACTTGTTCGGTGGTGATCCCTATGAGGCAACGAACCGTGCTAGGGGTGTGCCGAAATGAGTGGCGTGGTACACGATGCGAACGAAAACGATTGATCTGAGCACGTAGGGAAAATGAGCGCGGGTGAATTTGAGCGCGAGCGCGTCTGACTGTGTACGAATTTGCGCGCAAGCGAGTCTACGTGCGTGAATGCGAGTATGACAAAGCACGGTGCCATTGTATATGAATGTCATTCGTTTGAGAATGGCTGCCTCTGAATTCTCGTGACGTTGGGCGTGGCCGCCGAAAGGACCTTCCCCGGGACTCCCCGACAGCATCGCCCGCGCGCCGCGACGCCAATGTCGGCGCGCCCCCCCGCGAGGATCGCGCCCGCTTCCTCCCGTTCTTTTACTCCCTCTTTGCCCGCGCATAAAAGTCCCAGGCTGCGGGCGCAGCGCAGCGCGGAGTCCCCGCGACGCGCGCAGGTCGCCCCGGAGGGGTCCCAGCGACGCGCGCGGGTCGTCCGCTGCGCGGAGCAAGGAGAGCTGGCTGGCTGGCTGATAGCGGGCAAGGTTCTTGCCGCTGGGCAGAGCGACGACGAGCGGACGAGGCGGGGAACTCCGACGGCCTCCGACGGAGGTGTACTGGATGGGGGAGACGCATGCGGACTGCGCCACGGGGACCTTCGGTGGAGCTCCCTATGGGGCCACGCAGCGCTGTACTGGGTGGGGGAGACGCATGCGGACTGCGCCAAGGGGGCCTTCGGTGGAGCTCCCTCTGGGGCCACGAGGCGCTATACTGGGTGAGGGAGACGCATGCGGACTGCGCCACGGGGACCTTCGGTGGAGCCCCATATGGGGCCACGAAACGCTGTACTGGGTGAGGGAGACGCATGCGGACTGCGCCACGGGGGCCTTCGGTGGAGCCCCTATGGGCCCACGCAACGCTGTACTGGGTGGGGGAGACGCATGCGGACTGCGCCACGGGGACCTTCGGTGGAGTTCCTATGGGGCCACGAGGCGCTGTACTGGGTGAGGGAGACGCATGCGGACTGCGCCAAGGGGGCCTTCGGTGGAGTTCCCTCTGGGGCCACGAAACGCTGTACTGGGTGGGAGAAACGCATGCGGACTGCGCCACGGGGACCTTCGGTGGAGCTCCCTATGGGGCCACGAGTCGCTGTACTGGGTGGGGGAGACGCATGCGGACTGCGCCACGGGGACCTTCGGTGGAGCCCCTATGGGGCCACGCAACGCTGTACTGGGTGGGGGAGACGCATGCGGACTGCGCCACGGGGACCTTCGGTGGAGCCCCTATGGGGCCACGAAGCGCTGTACTGGGTGGGGGAGACGCGTGCGGACTGCGCCACGGGGACCTTCGGTGGAGCTCCCTATAGGGCCACGAAACGCTGTACTGGGTGGGGGAGACGCATGCGGACTGCGCCACGGGGACTTTCGGTGGAGCCCCTATGGGACCACGAAGCACTGTACTGGGTGAGGGAGACGCATGCGGACGGCGCCACGGAGACCTCCGGTGGCGCTTCCCATGTGGCCACGAAGCGCTGTACTGAAACGCTGTACTGGGGGGTGATGATGCTGATGTTGATGATGATGATGATGACGACGATGATGACGATGATGATGATAATGATGATAGTGGTGATGAGATGATGAGAGGGGAGGAGGGAGGAGGAGGAAGAGGAGGAGGAGACGCGGGGACCGTCTCTTCAAAACGAGGACCCAACAACACAGGTTGGTTGGGAAAAACGAATTGAATTTCGCGTGGATTTTGTTTAGTCTTCATTCCTGGCCCCAAAAAACGCACGGCATTCACCTCGAAATCCGGAACGAAATTCTCCAGGACACTCCGGGCCCATCCGATCGTTGTCCGAACGAAATCCGCTCTGCGATGTTGGCGCCATGAAACAGTACTGGCTGTCCTTCCGGGGATGCCGCGCCAGACCATGCCAGGCCCGCCTCCTCGTCGTAACCTCGCCACCCCACTGGTCCCAACAATACCGCCTGCCCCTCCGGGAAGAGGCTGCTCCTCGTTACCCCCCAGTGAGCTCGCGAATCAAGTGGAACCCAAATGGAGCATCGTTTAAACGATCCCCATCCCCACCAGCGTGGGCTGGGCCCCACTGGCCGATTTACTCCCTTGGATGGGGATATAGGTTGCTCTCTTCGGGTTCCGAGGAGCACATCCCCAACCGAGGTGGTGAGACGGTGGGGCTCGAGATGTTGATGGGGATGGGGATAGGGATGGGTCAAACGGCACTGACCAACGTGGGGTACCCCAATTGCATAATTCAGAAGCCGCTCAACGAACGCGTCGGAACCAACATGCACCCACCGTCCGTTCCGAGTCCCCTGCGCCTGCGCTCGTGAGCTGTGTCAAGTACTAAAATATGGGTGTGCGTTTCGTGCACCCCGCCCACACCCAAAAAGAGGAGGAGGACCAGTGCAAATACAAGACGCATCAGCGATGTTGCAACACACCCTCCTTCCACAGTCCCAACCCATCAACCCCTACAAGGATGATTTGCCACTGCTGGCAAAACCCCGCCAATCGGCCAATCGTGCCCTCGATTGCAACACGGCGAATCAACTTTCCTGTTGCGTCCTGGCGATCCTTCGCCGTGCCAGAACTCCAATTCCAGAACTTCAAAGTCGCGAATGAACGTGAATGTTGCGCACAGGACATCCCAAACTCCCTCGGAACACCACTCTTGGGACGTCCGCCAGAAGTTCCCGCCGAAAAACATCTAGACGACGAATATGCTCGCGGCGCTGACGCGAGAACGGCCCACGTGGCAAACGAAACGTTCTTCACCCGCGCGGCTCCTACAAACTGTCAAAAAGAACGTGCTCGGCGCTAGAACGAGAACCGCACGTGGAAAAAACACCGGCCCGACATCCATTAAAAACACAAGCCACGATAAACAAAGGAACCGCCCTCCACCCGTGAAGCTAGCGTAAACATGTCGAGCGAACGAACGCGGCGTCTGGGGCGAAAACCACAATTTGGAAACGAACCGCCCTCCAGACGTGAAACTCCTGCAACAATTTCAGAAAAATACACGCGGCGCTGAATCGAGAACGACACATTGAAATCAACCCACGCTCCATCCGTAAAACACCTGCACACCATTTAAGACTAATGTGCGCGGCGATGGGGCGAGAACCGCAATTTGAAAACCACCCGACCTACATACGTGAAGCTCAGCTCGGGCAGGCGTTGAAAGCAAGTGTGCGCAGCGCGAAGGCGAGAACCACAATTTGAAGAGGAACGGACCTCAGTCCGTCGAACTCCTGCGAACCTAACTCCGAAAAAAAGGCGGCGCGAAGGCGAGAGCCACGCTTTGAAAACCGTCCGCCCTCCGTCTGTGAACTCCTGCAGACTTGTAAGACGAATGTGCGAAACGATCATGCGAGAGCCACGAAACCACCCGCCCTCAATTCGTGAAGCTCTTGCACGCATTTAAACGAAACTGCGCGGAGCCGAGGCGAGACCCACATTTTGAAAACAACGGTTTCTCCAGGTGGGCAATCCGCTGTTGCAAAGTGTAAGCATCAGGTCATGGAAGGAGCGAAGGTCTCAAACGACACGCCAAGCCCGCCCTACCGATACGCTTCGGGATGCGACAAGGAGGAATTATGTATCACAGTGAGGGGGCCAACCGGTCATTCAGTGTCCCTGGGTGGTGGCTGAAGTGGGATTCTGCGATGCGGATCAATGTTGTTGTTTGTTTGTTTGCTGTTGTTGTAGTTGGCGTTGGTGTTGTTGTTGTTGATGGTGCTGTTGTTATTGTTGTTGATGTGGTTGTTGGTGTTGTTAGTGTTGGCTTTGTTGTTGTTGTTGTTGTTGCTGTTGGTGTTAAGTGTTATGGTTTTGTTGTTGATGTTGATATTGTTGATTCGCGTCGTCCCCCCCGCGATCCTGCGACCCGCCCCGCGACCCACCCGCGACCCGCCCGCGACCCACCCGCGACCCGCCCCGCGACCCATCCGCGACCCACCTGGCGACCCACCCGCGACCCACCCCGCGACCCACCCGCGACCCACTCCGCGCCCACCCGCGATCCGCCCCGCGACCCGCCCCGCGACCCGCCCCGCGACCCGCCCCGCGACCCGCCCCGCGACCCATCCGCGACCCGCCCGCGACCCACCCGCGACCCACCCTCGATACACCCACAATGCTTTCTCGGCGCCGGCGGCGGGCTCACTGCATCATTTGTCAAAGTGCGGGCCCGGGGCATCGGGAGGCAGGGACTGCGAGGAGCAGGCAGAGCCTGCGACAGAGGACCCAAAGATCCGACGTCGTGATTTTTTTCAAGACGGGGTCCCCGGAAGTCTCGACCCGTTCCCCACGACCGGATTTTCATCCAGAGTCGTTTTGTTGACGGTCCCGAGGCCCGGCGAGGGCCCCTGTGGGCCGACATTTGCGAACAAAAGCCCGTCTTAACTTCTGTCAATACATTGGATCTCTGGGGAGGCTGCTCGGAGTCTGCGGAGGGCCTGGGCGTCGGGGATGGACAGACCCCCCTTGAGCAAAACGTGGTTTCGTGAAAACGACCTCGGGCCCAAACCTGGCGGGCGCAAGCCTGGAAAATGACGGCCGCGCGCCCTCTCGAGAACCGCAAGCGGACACTTCCCTAGTCGACGCGTCAGGGTAGGAGATCTACCCACCTCCGATGGATATCTGGGGAGGCTGCTGGGAGTCTGCGGAGGGCCCGGGCGGCGGCAGGGGGCCAAACGGGGGGGGGGACCACCTCTCTCGGCAGAGTGCTGCCGCGCTGCTCCGGCGGCCCCAGGCCCACGCGAGGGGCCCCCGCGCGGCTCCCGCCGGCAGGCGCGGGGGCGAGACTCGGAGCAGGGACCGACCGTCCCGGCATGCCCGTGGTCCTGCCACGAGGTGCTCTCGGCGCCCAGAAATGTGTTCGAGGGACACAGACGGTGTTCTCAGAAACCATACACGCCCAAGGTGATAAAAAACAGGACAGCCCTGAGAAGATTTCGCGGGAACCACACAAAAGGCTCTCAGGCTATAGGCGAGCCAGGACGCTCCGCCACTGCTCGAAGACGGGAGCGGCGGGCGCCCGGCGCTCAGGCCGAGGCGACGGCGTCGCTGCGGAGGGCCATCTCGGCGGCCCGCAGCCTGGGCGGGGCTGGCGCGCGGCGGGGGGCGCTGCGCGCGGCGGCCGGTGACTCTGCCCGCCCGCGGGCTGCCCGGAAGGCTGGTGGCAGCGCGCTGGGCCTCGCCATCGTTCGGACGTTTTTTTTTTTTTTTTTTTTTTTTTTTGTTGTCCGTTTCGTGCGTGGACCTTCGCCAAATGATCCAGGATGCTCCCCGATGGTCCTCGCCGAAGGAAACATGCACACGTCCGAGCGATGCCAAGGGGAGGGCGAGCGTCTTCTTTACCCGGCATTCCGACACTGGGAGGAAGGGGGGGTGGGGAGAGGGGGGGGGGTTCTGGATCCGGACCTCTGCTTTCAGCGCGCCTGTTTGCCACAGTGGTGCGTTATGATGCGAGGGAGGCCCCACCTGCTCGAAACAGGTGCCAAAGACAGCCAAGATCTACTCTATGGGGGGGGGGAGGCTGGACGGTTTTCCCCCAGGCCGTAGGCGACTCGAGGAGGGGAAGGCGAGGAGGGGGAGACGGAGTAGGAGGAGGAGGAGAAGGAGGAGGAGGAGGAGGAGAAAGGAGAGGAGAGGAGGAGGAGGAGGAGGAGGAGGAGGAGGAGGAGGAGGAGGAGGAGAAGGAGGAGGAGAAGGAGGAGGAGGGGGGGCGCGAGGGCCCGCGCCAAGCCTCAAAGCAACGAATAAGACGACGATCCCGAGCGGTCGTCTCTTCCCGCGCTCCTCTGCTCCATGAGGCTTCCCCCGGGTGGGCTCTTTGCACTGGGGGCGTCTCGCCTGTGCTTCAAGGATCCGGTGGGTACGAGGCGCAATCGTCGCCGGAGGAGGAGGAGGAGGAGAGGAGGAGGAGAAGGAGGAGGAGGAGGAGGAGGAGGGAGGGAGGAAGGGAGGGAGGGAGGGAGGGAGGAGGAGGAGGAGGAGGAGGAGGAGGGGGGAGGAGGAGGAGGAGGAGGAGGAGGAGGAGGAGGAGGAGGAGGAGGAGGAAGAGGAGGAGGAGGAGGAAGAGGAGGAGGTCCCTGGGGTTCCTTGGCCGTGTTTCTGGGGCGGCGCTTAATGGGGGGGGCGAAGAAGGGGGTGGGAGAGAAGGTGCACTCTTCGGGCCGTAAAGGCCCCCACTTGGGCCCTAGGAGGCCCAGATGTGGGGTCCTAAGAGGCTCCTGTTCTGCAGCCCCTGCCGCCCCCTCTTTCATCGCCCCCACCCCCCATTACGCGACGCCAGAATTTCCTTGCACGGCGTTGCCCTGGTTCCTTGGTCTTGGTTTCTTGGTTTTTGCATCTTGGCTTAGGTCGCGCCTGTCCCCCATACAGGCGGATTTTGGACGACAAATCAACACAAATACCCCAAACATGCCCCACAGATGCGCAAACATTGTCAAAACATCGTCCCCATACTATTTCTGAATATTTTTGAATTTTCCTCCTGTAAAGGGACAGGCCCGACTCAAACCTTGGTGTCCTGGCTCCATGGTCTTGGTTCGCCACGCCGAGCAGCGCAGCCACGCGAGCACATGCAATGAGCCAGAGACATAGGAGCCCTCCCCCCTGCTTGGGGCCGCGCTGGGTTGACTTCTGGGGCGACCTTGGCACGGGCACTGCGCACCAAGCATCCAGTCAAAGCCACAGACAGAAATACACGCGCGCCAACTTCGCATGCCAGAAGGCACAGCAGTGTGACACAGAGGGGATGCCGAGGCCTGCTGCTGAGAAGGGCACACCGCTCCACGGCCTCGGTGTTGTCCTGCGGGGGGCAGCGTAAACTTGCATGTCTTGAGCTACCACGCAAAGAAACATATCCATAATGAGGTCCACGGCACCTCTCCGGCATCATAACAGATTGTGACGGGGTGGAACACCAGACCATGGCATGCCAACATACTCTCGAAATGCTCCTTCAAACACGCTGCGGTCGACGGTACCGTCTTGTCGGCGTCCCCATCCCGATGACCTCGCCTACTGTGCCCCGTTTATGTCCACCTGCAGTCAGCCCGCGTAGCAAAGATGAACAACTTTCTGAGGTGACCCTTGCATCCGTTCCCTTCGGCCCATCCTTGGCCGCTTTCGCTGGGCACACCCCGCTCGCAAAATGGCGGCATGGCCTTCAAAGGCTCTTGCATCCTTATCGTGAGTTTATATTATACGGGTTGACTGTGCGCTCTTCTGAACCTATTCGATTGCACGTATTCCCGATCCAAAGTATCCATCCACCTGTAGAGATCTAGCCGTAGCTGGTCTACAACGGCCTCCCTCCACGTACTCACGACCTGGAGCCCTTCTTCGCACTCAGACCTGATCGAACATCTACGATTCCACCCTTTCAGTGTCTGGCTGCATAGGCATGTATTTCTCACAAATATCCAACTCTTGGTCGCCAATGTGCGCATCTGAGAATATCGCTCAAGAAGGTAACTTCATCCGGAAGTTCAGGACGTTGAGTGTAGCCCTCCATTGCAACTGCCCGACGATGGGAGTCTCGCATTACCTTTCTCTAGATTCTTGTTTGAAGGGGCCCTGGGACACACAAATAAATACACACAAATAAAAAGATTCCCCACATTTTCATATATTTTCTGGGTTTCTGTCTTCCCCCCCACTTCCCCTAGTTTTCCCATATGTTCTGAGGAATCGAGGATTCATTGTGTCTGTGTGTTTTTTCCTCTCCTGATTGTTGCTCTCTCTCTCTCTCTCTCTCTCACTCTCACGAGACGGCGGGGGGGCGAGACCACGACACGACGCTCGGCTCACCGCGCGGGACCGCCTCGGGGGGCAGACAAGAACACGCTTCGCCGCGCGCAGCAGCGCCGCGGGGGCGGAAGAGGTGCCGTTCCGCTCGGCTCGCCGCGCGAGCGGCGCCTGGGGGGGGTACAGTCGAGGCGTTGACCTAAGGAACCCTGAATATGACTACCTACCAAACCACTCCAACCCAACCCGAAGACCCGAATTTGACCCGAATTCCGGGTTGGGGGGGGTACGGGTTCCATGTGTTTTTTCGACGTTCCCGACCCCCCCCCACACTGGAAATGGAGGGCAAATTGAGGCCTTCGCGTTGGGTTGGGGTGGTCTGGTAGGTGGTGAGAATAAGGAACGAGGCCCCTTCTTCCCATAAGTTCAACCTCGATTTCCCATGGAAAACCTAAGGAAAACCCGAGGCAAACTTGGGAACAATCCAGGAACACCGAGCCCCTCCCCAACGAAAAGGGTTCCTTCTTCAGCGCCCCGACTGTATAGTTGTGCAAGCTGTGCGATGCGCACAGGGGCAATGGAAGGGACCTAGCGAATCATGGTTGCACTCTCGCGCCGTGCTCTTCCCGACGAGGGCTGGCGTGCAAACATCTGGAGAAAACACGGCAAACACAACTGCTCCACACGATGCCCGGGTATAGATATCTTCCGCGCAGGTCGGCCAACCAGACGCTCTCAGAAACGTCAGTTCGTGAGAGCAGGCCCGCGCAGGCCGCTGGGCACGCGGAACGGCGACGCCGCGGGGCGGAAACGAAACCGCCCTCTTCGACACATCGCGCGGCACCACGCGTGGGGTGGGCTGGGGTGGGCTGGGGTGGGGGCGACGCAGCAGGAACTACGCTGCCCTACTCGTCACGTCGCACCGCCGGACGGGCGGGGAAGCAGTACTCGAAGAGGGGATCAAGTACGGCATTGACTTACTCCCACATTGATGTTCCCGCCGAACATGCAAGAAACGCGCAAAATGTTCGTAGATTTACGGGGTATTCTACGCACGTTCCGGTAGACTCAGCGGGAAAATCAATTGTGGGGTAAATCAATTATGTAGCTGATCCCCTACGGCAGGTTCGTGTCGTGACGACCCCGGCGTTGGTTTCTGACACTGCGTGAATCGTTCAACCTTGAACGATCGGCGGCTTTTCGACCGCCCGATCGTTCCATATAAGCCGATTCTGGGCCACTGGCGGCGTTCAACCTTGAACGCCCTCGGCGGGGTCGCCGCCGGTCGACACGACGCGAACCTGCCGTATGTGAAGTGCGCAACTCCGCCCGCCGGCCCCGCTGCAGGGCACTCCAAATCTCGCCACGCGGCAGCGCCCCTTCGGAGCGACAGCACGAGACGAGGCGCCGCCCCCCTCCGAGCGTGGCAACGCCGCGACAAGTTGGGCGCCCGAGTTATCCGGGGTAACTCGGGTTTGGATTCCCGAAAAAGGAACCCGAGTTAGCCCTGACCCGAGTTACCCCTGATGATTCGGGGCTCTGGACGCCCGAGTTATCCGGGGTAACTCCGGTCCGGGGTAACTCGGGTTTGGATTCCCGAAAAACGAACCCGAGTTATCCCTGACCCGAGTTACCCCTGATGATTCGGGGCTCTGAACCATGCCACTCGACACGCCGAGCCGCAGCGCCCTGGGGGGGGGGGGAAAGATGTACTCCGCTCGACGCCCTGGTCTCAAGTCGGGCATGCCCCTCTACAGGGCGGACGATTCAGGAATAGTCCACAACATAGTCTGGGGATGACTGCTGTTTACCATGCTTGGCTATTCTTGCATATGTTGGGTGTACTTCTGTTTCGTCCAACGTCCGCCAGTGGGGGTACACGCCCGACCTAAACCCGGTCTCGGACACCGCCGGCACCCACGCCGCACCCGCAAGAGGAACACCCCGTGGGGCCGCGCCCGCGAACCGCGGAGCCGCCCGACAGCGCAGAGCATCCCCGCTCGACCCCGCGGATCCTCGGCAGGGTCCCCCTCGCCATCGCTCGGACGTCCATTCCCGGTGTTTCTTTTTCAGTTTCGTGCGTGGTTTTTTCGCCAAATGATCAAGGATGCTCCTCGATGGTCCTCGCCGAAGGAGACATGCACACGTCCGAGCGATGCCACGCCCCAGAAAGATCCCCCGTTCGCTCCAGCACACATTTCCCCCGTTCGTGGCCGAACTTGCCGATTGGCGGCCAGATCTCCCAGCTCGCCTTGTCACCGCCCTCGGGGGGCCGGGCACCATCAAACCTGCTGACCGACCACCAAAGGACAAACAACCCGACGTCGACGTCAAAGTCGACGGCGTCGAGGTCGATTGCGTCGTCGCCACCGTGAGCGTCGCCGAGGGGTGCGTCGTCGTCGCCGCCGCTTCCTGCCAGCAGAACGACGTCAACATCCAGGAGGTGTTTCTGCGTCGGCCTCCAAAGGCCCTATCGGCGAACCCCCGGAGAGTCTAGAAACGGAGCAACTTATTAAATTGACTACCTACCAGACCACCCCAACCCAACCCGAAGACCCGAATTTCGGGTTTGGGTGGGGTAAGGGTTCCACATGTGTTTTTGTCGGTGTTTCCCGACCCCCCCACTAGAAATCGATGGCAAATCTGAGCCTTCGGGTTGGGTTGGGTTGGTTTGGTGGGTGGTGCAGAGTGAAGGACGGCTCCTGGCGACAGGAGCTGACATTCACGTCGTTTGTCGACGCCATCGTCGCCGTCGCCGCCGTCGCCGTCGTCGCCGAGGGGCTGGGGACACCAATGAGAAGAGGAGGAGGAGTCCAGTCCGGTCCAGTCCAGTCCGCTCCTGGGAGTCAGAGTGTCCGACGGTGCCGCGACGGTCGACTCTCACGGAGACAGCGCATGGCCTCTACACCCTCTCGAGCATCGCTCGCGCTGCCCCTTCGAGGTGACGGCCGTTTGGGCGCGCAACCCTGGCAGCGGCTCCCCATGGGGACCACCGCTTCAGACAGATCATTCGCCCACCCCGCCCGCCTCACCCCCCCCCGTCTCACTAGGCTGAGAAGAGGAGTAGTTTCTGCGAGAAGTGGAGAAGGAGGAGGAGTCATCCCACCAGCCCTCTGGGCGTAGGTGGTCTGGGGCGGCTCCTCTTCCAACCCCGTTTCTTCCCCTTCTGGGATGGGATTACCACTCCCCCTCCCCCTCCCCTGGACCTGGGCGGGCGGTGCCGCGACCCATTGGTGTGTCAAAAAGGGCCTCGGCGAGGAAGCCCAAATCTTTCGTTTTACCAGGGTTTGGGCCCCAGTTTGGCCTCTTGGGGAGGGGGGGGCGCTAATTGAAGCTCCCCTCATCTTTGATCGATGGCCTCCAAGATGACCCGAACAGCGCCACTGAAGCTCCCAAGAGCGCCCCAAGAGAGCCTCAAGAGGCGCCCAGACGGCCCCAAGAAGCCTCCAAGAGGCTTCCAAGAGACCCCCAAGAGGCCCCCAATAGGCTTCAAGAGGATCCCCGAGGCACCCAAGATGCCCCCCAGACGCTCCAAGAGGCCCCCCCGAGAAACCCAAGACGCCCAAGAGCCGCCCAGGACCGCCAAGAGACCCCCAAGTCATCCCAAGAAGCCACCAAGAAACGCCCAAGCGATCCGAGAGGCATCCGAGAGACCTCTGGCCCTCTTGCTCGCCCTCCTCCTCCTCCTCCTCCTCCTGCTCCTCCTGCCTTCTACTCCTTCTCTTCCTCCTCCTCCTCCTTCTCATCCTCATCCTCATCCTCATCCTCATCATCATCATCAGCATCATCACCATCATCACCATCACCATCATCATCATCATCATCATCATCATCATCATCATCATCATCATCATCATCATCATCATCATCATCATCATCATCATCGTCATACTCATCTTCATCTTCAACATCATCATCATCATCATCATCATCAGCATCATCATCATCATCATCATCATCATCATCATCATCATCATCATCATCAGCATCAACATCAGCATCCTCAGCCTCAACATCATCATCATCATCATGTTCACCTTTATTCTCCCCACTCCCTCA